GTTTATCTTTATCTTAGATAGAATATATTCTCCATCACTTTCAATTATCTTTTATCTTTAATCAAGTATTTCTTCTTTTTTTTTGTTTTTTGATATGTTCGATTATAAAAGAATATCAAACGATTCGAATGGATAAATAAAACATTCCTGCTTCTTTGTCTTAAAAATAGACATTATTTCAAATTTCTAGACAATTTTAGATTGAAATCAAGAAAAAATCTTGTCAAACTGAATCTAGATTACTTTTCTTTCATTAACAGGCTGGTGTATATAAAATGGTAATCAAAGACTAAAGAACAGTGTTATATAAATTTTCTTGCTTATAAGTTTATTGTTGCCTCGAAAATAAAGATCAACATGAAAGAAAAAAACAACAAATACTTGAATAAAAAAAAAGAATTGTTTTCCTATTGTTAAATGTTGTTAATTTATAAATAAAATTCTTCTGGTATAACTTGATTTTTTCGATAAAGTACAGTTTGTTTACTCTTTCGAAAATCTTCTCTTGTTACTTTCATTCGACATTCTCGTAATGCCATTAAATCAGATTCAGTACAAATTGCCTAAAATAATGAATTTACAGTGGGGGCAATTGAAATTCTCCCTTTTGTTTTTGTTACTGTACTTCTTTTATTTGTTAATCTACTATATATAGCGAGAAAGTCCTGAATGCGCTGCATCTTTTGGCATGTTTATGTTGGGCATCAAATGCAGTTTAAAGTGTGAAAAGTGCATTAGAAAAAAAAGTGGCACTTTTTTTCTACAATACCTGGTGTCGATAATGTGCCAACATTTTTATTTCGCACATCTCTTGGCTTAGATAAAGGATGAAATCTTGAATATTTTTCCAAAAGGAGCGCCGCGTAAAGCTCTATAAAACTGTATGATTGAATTCCTTTTTTACCTGTTCTAACAGTTTTTCTTATAGTCAAAATGTACAACCTGTATGACAATTTTCCTTCTCATCAGCTTCAAAACGTTTGGAAGACTTTTCTGATTCACTGTACGAATTGGCTCATTAAAGCTTTTATAGTTTTCGACGACCATCTTAAAAAAGAAGAATCAATGTTCTATCATTTTCTCAAGCCGCGATATATGCAAAACAAAAAGGTCTTACAAAAATTTTCAATATGATGGGAAGTGACACTGTTATGTAGGTTGCTCATTTTGACTATAAGAAAAACTGTTAGAACAGGTAAAAAAGGAATTCAATCATACAGTTTTATAGAGCTTTTCGTGGCGCGTCTCTTGGAAAAAAATTTAAGATTTTATCATTTATCTAAGCCAAGATATGTGCGAAATACAAAAATGTTGCAACATTATGGACACCTTGTAGTAAAAAAAAAATGTCCCTTTTTTTTCTAATGCACTTTTTACACTTTAAACTGCATTTGACGCCCAACACAAATATACCAAAAGATGCAGCGCATTCAGGGCTTTCTCGCTATATATAGTAGATTAACAAATAAAAGAATTACAGTAAAAAAAACAAAAGGGGGAATTTCTATTGGCTCCCACTGTATATATATATATATATATATCTGTTGATGACATTATAGTTTATGTACCAAATAAATGTATTCTAATCTCGCATAAAATTATCTTTTCTTCCATAAGAATTTGTTTCATTTCAGTCTACTAAGCATTACTTTTTATGCTGAATGCAACACTGCTGTTTACATTAGTCTTTTGTTTTTTTTACTTGTAATAGGAAAATAACCAAACAAGCTCCAATAACTCGATCAAATCTCTGGAACAAATATTTTAACAATCAATATAATATAACAAAAGAAAAATCATAGAATTTTTTAATTTCAATGAGTAACGAATTGAACAATAATCAAACATAAAACTAATTTGCTATGAAATTAAAAGTGTCACTTAAAGTCATTGTTGATCAAATTTATTTCTTTTGTTTTCATCCATATTTCAAAATAGTACGAATCTTGTAAAGAATAATATAAAGAATGAACGAAGAATTGATAGTATCAACAAGAATATATTTAATAATTGCAGATATATTCAAATTAACTATGACAAAACGACATTGACAAATTTGAAAAGCTCAATGCAATCGTTTCAGTATTCACAGTCATTTTTCTAGTGGAGAATACATTGCCGATAAGTTTTCATACAACAGAGCAGAAACAGAACTAGTATACCGGCCAGTTTGATACAGTATGGATTTTAGATCGGCTAATAACCGATAGAATTATCAGACTAATCTATCTTGTTTACTTGATTGCTGTTATTATCTCGTGGAGAATGTGTAATGACATTTTGTTCAAAGTTGAGTACATCTAATACACCATTCAGACATAAATATGATACCGACAAAAAGTCTATACAGACTTCAAACTGACTGATCTGTCGACGACCGGCTGCTAACCAGTAGACTGATCGTTAAAAATTCAGACTGGTTTCTTCTCTACAATAGAGAACTGCATCATAGATGTCGATGACTGCTGAAAAATTTGCCCGTATCGCCATGAGGATATTCAAATAAAAAATGTTTTGATTTTCAAGACCATGTCTGATTTAGACTAGAATTGTTACTGCTAATCGATCACATTCATCAAGTCATACAGAATAGGATATTTGAACGCCGACATTTTATACAAATTCATGTATATCTGAAATTTTTTTCTAATTTTATAAACACGTTGCCGTTGCCCCACCGTGATGGTTTTTAAAAAATCTGCCAATACCCTGATGCCACCGCTACGACGGTAGCACCGCCATAGACATCTCTGAACTAAATATACATAATAATAGCAAATCATCTCTTTCATGGACAACCTGTATAAAGTCAAGAAAGAAATAACAACCAATCTTATATTTTGTCACATATAGGAATTGAATTTGGCTTCTTTCGTTGACGATAACTGGCCTATTATCATGGAGTTGACCAGCTTAAGAGTTCATGAACTCAGCTCAAATGAGTTAAGGAACTGATATAATCGAATAGATCTTGTGAATAAACAGATTTATTAGAGCAGGTCTTTTGACATGAATTGAATCGTTCGAAGAGTTCAGATCCAGGAACTGATCGATGTTAAAGAATACCTAGGAATGCTACTAGGAGTCTTCGTTACCCTATAACATCGATCAGTTTCTAGATCTAAACTAAAACTGAACTTGTCGAATTCTATCTATTACTCATAAATCCGTTCGGCATTTATCATAGAAAAAACTTTCTACTCATTATTCTCATTAGACAAAAAAAAACATTAAGCACTCATTAGTTCACATGTCATTTCGTTTTCTGTTTTTTTGAGATAATTAGCAATAAATAAGTATATCTTTTCTTCAAAATCTTAACAACGAGAAAAACACAGATTTAAGCATTTGCAAGATAAATGACAATGAATAAATGGAGCACGAAGAAGAAACCGACATAAATAAACTGCACCAATAATAATAATAGGGAAAGAGAAAAATATAGAAATAGACAAAAACAAACAACAACAATAATAGCAATGATAACAACCGTTTTTATTTATTCAAAAATGCAATGCAAAAAAAGATTTCGAGAATATCATCGATCAATAGCAACGTCTTAATTGATCGGCAAATATGACCATTGTTAACTAAAGTAGACATGGAAACCAATAAGGTCAATATCAATTTTTAAGAACATTTATTCTTTTTAATAATGCCAATAAACAAAAATAAAGGTCAGAGCAAAACGATATAAATTTTAGGCAAAAAATCTGTGTCAATATGGAAAAAATGTGAATTACATTTGGAAGGACTACAACATTTTTTTGGTCTTACAAGGGAACATATTTGAGTGTATCCACGGAGGAAGAGTTTAAAACCCATTCTATCAGATAGGGACCTATATGGATATCTCGGATATAAATATCTTAGCTGCTCTCACTTAGGTCTAAAAAAAAAAGAGAAGACCAAACTTTTTCAATTTTAGACTTTATTCTGCCAATAGATGTATTTAAAGTTCTTTCGTTTTTTTTTGCCAAAGTTACTCAAACGATCATTTCATTTTTAGAAAGAACTTTAGAAAATCAACAGAATTTGTTATGAGAGCTAATTGTTTGTCAAAAATCGTCGTATTATTTTTTTTTTCTTTATCATGACGTCATTTATGTATATTCCATCTATATCTTCTTTCATTTTGTTGTTATGTATGCATATGTATTTTGTTCTCTCTAGTAGTATGTTCAGGTATATTTGTTTTCTTTCTGTTCCGTCACTATATGTATCATGTATGGTGTCATCGTACTTTCTGGTGAGATCTTCTCTCTATATCACCTTCTAAAGAATTCTTCTTCTATCTGCGCTCTTATATATATATACTCATCGCTTTGAATAACAAATCATCATACGATTACAAGTGAAAAGATCTTCTTCTCTTTTTAACAAGTGGCGAGTGGTCGACAACCTTACTAAATATTAAAGTGAATAAGTATGTTTAACATTGCTAATGTTATGCATTTGTTCACGAAGCTTGTAATGGAGAAATATCCAGATTGTAAACAAGATGAGCTATCTTCACAAGATTACGAAATGGCTGATCAACTGATGATAGCGATGGAGAATACGATATAGAGTCAGATGACGATGAAGAAACATATTCAGTTGGTAGTCATTCCTACTCTTATAAATCGATGCTTGACATTGTACAATTTGCTAATACCCATTTATTTAGTGCAGTTCAACGTCGTTATCATTTGATCAAGCAACGAAATCAATTGACAAGAATCAGAAAATATGTCAAACAGCAGAGAACAAAGCGACAAAAATTAGAAAAACTTGATTAACTAGTGTTTGATAAATTTAATGAAGTGCGAAGCAAATCCCTACTTATTCACGATGACAATTTAAAATGACTAACGATTAGAAAGGCTAGACAGATTAACTTACAGAACTTCGAAGCATCATCATTTTCGATACTAAATTTCAAACGATGCCATCACATATCATCAAGAAAAGTTACAAAAATTGTAAGAAAAAATCATGGCGAAGAACGTGAACAGATTATGAAACAAGCAAAAACATTTGTTCATGAAGTAAAACAAAATATTCCTCATTTCAAAATTATACATATACTTAATGCTGATCAAAGTTCATTTAATTATGAGGAATTTTCAACTCGTACTCTTTCAACCTCAGATGAAAGATCAACTGTAGATCGTATTACCTCATCAAAAGCTTTTACACATTCGCGCACAATAATGCCAATTATAAACATTGCTGGCAACGTTGTTGGACTTGTTTTTATTTGTTCACAAGAACCGTTAGGACGATTGGGTCCGCGAGTTGTACAGTCTATGCATAAAGCACGAAATATTCATGTTACATGTAGTAAATCTGGAAATTGACTAAATCACATATCGAGTATTGGGGAAAAGAAGTGCTTCGACCATTTGTTGAAGAAAATTGTTTACTTTTATTGGATTCTTGATCAAGACAAACTGATCCAACATATTTGGATGAAGCATTCGCCGCAAATGTTGAATGTAAACTTTTGCAGATACCACCAAAAACAACTGCAGACATCCAGCCCTACGACAAATATTTTTTCCGATAATGGAAATATCTGTATCGACGATGCTTTGACTGCGTAACAATCGACTAACTTGAAATTGACTTGCGGCCAAGAGATAACATATTGAAATTGCACTCTCTCATTCATAATCACTTTTGCTCCAATCAGTTTTCGACAATGATTAAATATGCGTCAGAGGTGGACGGGGCATCGATTTTTGACGCCCCGCGGCTCCCGCTCCGCCACGCTCGCCACGCTCGCCAACCCGCCCCGCCCGCTCCGCATAGGATGCCGTGCTGATCCACTCCGCCCGACCCGTTGATTGTTTGACGGGCCCCGCCCCGTACCCGTGAAACCCGAAAAATTGTTTTTCATTATTTAATTTATTTTCAGTAATTTATTCTATGTAATTGATCCAGTTATTAGACAAAAATCTTAGGCAAACTTTATACGTGGGTCTTTTGAATGAGCTGCGGCTGATCGCAGCAGTATGATGTCATGGAATGCCTTTCGTTCATATTCAAAATTTGAATATGAGCAAGAGGCATTCGATGGCATCATACACTCAAACGATTCATCAGTTGATAAATCATGCAATTCAATCATTGTTATTGATTAGAAAGTCAATTGATTCCAAATATTAATTTTAAATATCAAATGATTTTTTTTTGTTTTTTCGCTTGTTAATACAAATCAATAATCAAAGTTCAATATAAGAAACGATAAGAAAAGCAAGAAACAAAGAAGTAAGCTTGTGGCTAGTGATCAGCCAAAACTCTAACGCAAAAGCGAAAGAAAAGTATAAAAATAATGAACCAATCAAAATATACTTCATAGTGCATATCTAGAATAAAGACATCTATCGATAATTTTTCACGGTCCTTCATCGTGCCCCGCAGAAATTCTTTACCCGCCCGAACCTCTGCAGATCTATCCCCGCCTCGCCCGCCCGTATCTTAAACAAAACCCGTACCACGCCAATCTGGAAGAACTACACAAATTTGTCCCCCGCCCGCTCGCCGCCACGTGGCCCCGTGGGTCGAAACCCATGGACCGCCCACCTCTGATATGTGTGGCACTCATGGGGGTATACAGCTCAAGATCCTGGCAGATTGGAAAACGTTCGGGATATTTGCTTTTCTTTTGAGAAAGACAGTTGTTCTGTCGTTCAATGTAATGAACAGACCTTCATATCTTCCAGCTGGTGCAATGAAACTTTATGTTTTCAACATTTTTTCATAGACGATCATAAACATTTTTAGTTTATTTCTTTATTTTTTTTGCATTTTTTTGATCCAACTGTTTTATAAAAGCTTGATAATCATTACTAAATCATCAGAAACAAATTATGTTTAATCAAAGACATATCTACATAAAAAACAAATATGATACGACTATTTTTGACAAACAATTAGCTCTCATAACAAATCCTGTTGATTTTCTAAAGTTCTTTCTAAAAATGAAATGATCGTTTGAGTAACTTTGGCAAAAAAAATGAAAGAACTTTAAATACATCTATTGGCAGAATAAAGTCTAAAATTGAAAAATTTTGGTCTTCCCTTTTTTTTTTAGACCTAAGCGAGAGCAGCTAAGATATTTATATCCGAGATATCCATATAGGTCCCTATCGGATAGAATGGATTTTAAACCCTTCCTCCGCGGATACACCCAAATATGTTTCCTCGTTAGTCTTGTAGGTCTTATACATCGTCGTATATTCTAATTGCTTGCATTTTAAATAATATGACCGGACGTTAACTGGCAGTTTTAATTCCAAGCAATAGATTCTAATTCTAGCAAACATGCCAAAAGTGTGGAGTATAAATTCTCCGCTATAGATGCGAAATCCTTTTGATTTAAAATAAAACTTGATACCATATAAACTCACATAAATCGATTAATCTTCACCGAGTATATTGAAGATCACAGTTGATTGATTAACTGTTTGTTTATTTGTTAGTTACTCTATTAAACTTTTCGGTCATAAAAAAACTTATCTGAAAAACAAAGTCGGGAGTTTTGTAGAGCAAAGAATCCTATCTGTTGAATTTAAAATACAGTTCTAGGATTGTATTTTTAATTTCTGAAAAAAACGAAATTAAAATTGATTCATTCCTCATAAGACATCGGTTTTATATTGAATCATAGTAGTTTTCTTCTGAATATAACTCAATATTTCGAGATCGCGCTCAAATATTGGAAAACTATGCATTTACTATTGTCATTTGCCACGGAATATTTTTTCAACGCTAGAACTTGAACGTAATGTACTTTTAAAGTTCACAACCAATTATAGATCTATTATGACAAAGATTTTCGAAAGTGATTTTTTCTATTTCTGATAATTTCCATCGTAAGAAAATCATATTGCTCATCAGGAATCTTTTTATTTCCCGTAGATTAACATCAAGCTTGCTTTTTCTCATCATTTTTTTCTTCAAACATATGTATCAATATTAGAAATAAAAACGGCCTGTTGAATTAGAACGAGCGAGATTTCGACTCGGAGAAATTTTTTTATCACGGTAAGAAAAAAAGACTTCAGGCCGGAGTGAGGCAATGTAGGGAAGAAAAAACAAACAGGACGAGGTGAGCGAGAATCGAAAAAGGTTTCCCTGTTTCGATCTCTGATATTTATGCGTAATATTTTATTTTAAAACTTTATGACAATAAAGTAACAAAGTAGAAAAACTTTGAGAAGTTTAATAGGAAAAGATCATTTGCTTTTCCTAACTATCAACGAAAGTCTCTCTAGCAGTTCATCCAGATTTATTTGAATTTAATCAAATGGCAGCATTGCTTCTGCATAGAGAAAGTGATAAACTGAACCGAAGACAATGAACGAAAAATTCTTGACAATTACGGATATTTACATGAAACCATCTCAAAGATGTAGAATGAATCCATACAACACTGTATAATGCTGAAAAGCTATATTTAGAATGAAAAATACTCCTTTCGTAATTCTTTGAACAAATACAAAACGAATATTTTTCATTTTAAATGTAGCCTTCACCTTTTCAATCTAACTCAAAATTAAAGAATGAATGAACATTAATTTGTGATTGCATTCGATCTAAAATTCAAAACGTTTTTAACAATTGCACTTGATGTATGCAATAACAAGTTATTTTCTGTCTCAGTTGTAAACTACTTTTCTTGGAGTCAAACTTTCGCTCTTGCTTTTCTACGAAATAAAATTATTTCGAAATACGCGAGCACAAAAATAACATCTCTACTTTGCTGACCTTCTTGATTTATTGGATCAACAAATATGAAGATATTTCGTCCTTTTATTAATTATGTTTTCATTAATATTCCATCGAAGAGAATTGATTCAAAGCAATAGAACATATAACTATTACAAGCTTTCGTCTCACCTTTTGTATCGAGATATTTTCAATTTAGTCTTCAACAAATCTCTACATTTTGGCCAAATCAACGGATTGAATGCAAAACGTCGAAAATGAAAATGTCGAAACAGAAAAATATCGAAAAGGAAAATGGAAAATGGAAAAAAAATATATTTCTTCTGTGCTATTGGCATCTCTCTAACACATCTGCACCCTCAGCTTCACCCATGCCCTCACTGACACCCTCATTTTTGGCTTTCGACATTTTCCTTTTCGACGTTTTCCGTCAACCCCAAATCAACTACACTCTGTGCTTCTTACAGTTTTATAATATTCATTTTTTCAGTTTAACTAAATAAGATCGATTGTAAATTTTTATTGAACAACATCCTTGACAATTTGTAAGTACAGACTTCTAATGTCTAATTGACATATTTTATTTTATTTTATTTCAAACATAATATTATCTGCTATAAGAAGCACGCTACATGAGAAATCTTTTGTTTGACAAGGGAGTAATAAGCTGACTAATAGACCACTAAAAAATTATTAGGGAAAATATTAGACAGAAAGGGATCCAACACACTAGAATAGTGAATTAACGTTAAAGCTGAATTAAGTAATATGATTGGCGTATTAAGATTTAAATCGTCTCAAAGAAAAGATGACTTAACTCTTAATGCGCCAATCATATTGCTTAATTCACTTTTCTAGTGTGTTTGACCCCAAAGAAAAATGCCATCATATATTTGTTCGTCGAACAGACTGAACCAATTCAATAGGAATTAAGAAACATGATTGACCTTTCTATCTACCAATGCCAATTCCATTGGTTAGTTCACTTTCAATAGTTTAGTCTGTTTGTTATCTTTATTATAGAACAACATGACGGCATCGATATTTATTCGTCATTATTCTTATAGACGGCAATGACAAAATGCAAACATCTATATATATATTGACATAAATACAATTTATGAGTTAGACATGAACAATTTCAATGACAATTATTTCAATATACTCGATTTACCCGATGAAATTTTATTCATCATTTTAAAAAAACTCAATATGATTGATGTTCTTTCTTCACTTGTGGATGTTAATCAACGATTTCGTCGATTAGCTCTTGATTCTCTTTATATTCGAGACCTTGATATGACTTGTATGACGCCCATCAACTCACTGTATGATCAAACATCGTCAATAAATACTCAAGTTCTCTCAAAAATTTATAAAAATATCTTACCTCAAATTCATCATCAAGTATATAAACTCACTGTTGAAGAATATTCAATGAAACAAATTCTTCGTGCTGCCAACTATCCTCAACTTTATTCATTATCACTTTTCAATTTTCAAGAAGTAACACTTCATCAATATTTAAGAGGTATAGTATTTAATTTTCGTTAGAATAAAAAAAATAATCAATGTACTTATAAAAAAATTAATAATTATCTGTGTTTGTTGTTTTTTAAAACTAAAGATGATTTAATTCTTCGTGATCTTCTTACCGAACAAATCACACATCTTAATGTTGTTATTAAAACAACAACAGAAGAAAGGTCGGAAATTGCTCCAAGTATTTTTGCATTCATCTTATCTTTATGTAAAAAATTAATTGCTGTGAATATTCATCACATGTTTCCTATACGACCGGCTTTGTTTCCTCTTTTTGGTCTACTACGGAAAAGTAGTATGCCTTCAACATTAATCAAATTGAAAATCAATGTCGCAACTTTATTTGATTGTCTTTATTTGCTTGATGGACTTCTCGTTTGTTTATCAACACTAATTGTTCATGTGAACCAGATATTTCATCCATTTGGGAATATAGATCCAACAGTAAGTATCATTTCAATGATCATGTTTAGAAGCGAAAAAAGTGCACTAAACGAAAGAAATAAAGATTCTTAATTTGATTTTCTTCTATAGAAAAAACTTCCCAAATTGAAACATTTTTCACTTACCACATGTCGTCACACATTTGAATATGATACTCTAATTGTTCCATTACTTTGTCGAATGATAAATCTTGAAGAATTGAAATTATATCTATCAGTTGGAAGATTTGACTCGACTTATATTGATGGGATTCAATTATATGAACAATTTCTTATTTATATGACACAATTAAAGAAATTTACATTTAATATCAAGACACAGGTCGAGAACAGGAATGTGACAATTGAACTTCCATCGAATGAAGATATTCAATGTACTTTCATTGGAAGAAATTATCCAGAAGTAGTTTCATATATTAATACTAATCCATGTGAATGCGACGGCGAATGCCATATCTATACACTTCCCTATGACTTCGACTATTTTCTTAATCTCAACAATTCTTTTCAAGGTGGCATGTTTCATAAAGTTCGACAATTGACGATGAAAGATATGATTGCTTTTGAACATGAATTATTTCAACTCATCTCGCAAGACTTCCCTTTTCTCGAATACTTACGTATATATAATGGTTATCCACAAAAAGACAAGCAACATTCATTATCAACATTGATTACATTTTCTTATCTTACATTTCTTGACCTAGAATCGGCATATGTTGACTATGCAGAACTATTTCTTTTGAAAAAAAATATGCATCTACCTCGTTTGGTTACACTTACCATGCAATACAAATCACTTACAACGGTAACACACAATTTTACCGCTGATGCAACGCATTTTAATTTTAATAAATTGAAAAGTCTTCGTGCATCTCGAAAATTTGTGCGTCCAGAAAATTTTCATCAATACTTTCCTTTTGTTACTTTGTTAGAAATTGTTTGAATAAAAGTAAACACGTAGAGAAAATTATTCTCTTGCAGTTTTAGTCAACTCTCGAACTCTCTGAGTTACCTGTTCGAATGACTTGATGTTCTTATGCGAACATTAATTCCGTGTGTTTCAGGTTAAAGGTTAAGAAACTATGTGCAATTTATTCAATGCATCTGAGACATTTCAGAAATTTAGCAAGACAATGTAAAACTTGTGCTTTTCAGATCGAAATATTCTTACTTGAAAGATATTCATACTCATTAGTATTGATTGTTATACGGGCTACAGATCGTCTAACTTTTTTTTTTATTCACACTTTTTATCAAATTTTCAAAGTAATTTTCTTTGAGACAAGCGCACCATCGTTTTTTTTACATCGATTTGGAATTTTCATGTAAACGTGTAATCATTATATAAATAAGAACTAACATCAAATGAATGAAGCAAGATCTTTTGTTGATACCATTCATTCGGATTTTTCGGTACTTCATTATCTAAAAGATGTTTGAATATAATTGTGAACAACGAAGTGAATGTCGAATAATAAGACTCTAGAAAATTGATTTCAATCATCAGTTAAAAAATGAAGAGATCAAAATTGTCGAAGACTATCGAAAACGGTTTATCTAAGATGAAAAAGTGTTTTTACCTTTAAACAGAATTCTCTGCAATTCATCAAAATTTTCAAAAATTTATAAAATAGGACTTGAGGGTGAGTTCAAAGATTCCTTCATATCTCTTGATAGGATTTTCAGAAAAAGGTAAAAATTTGGTTTTGAACATAACTGTTCACACTCTTTCAAATGATCTAACTCATTTCAAAATTAAAAATTTTTCGGATGTAGGTTTGGTGGGTGATCTCACGGACCCTCTCTTAATGATTCTTTT